AGCAGAGTTGGAAGTCCCGGATATTCCGAGGGATTAATTTTTTCCACCACGACAACGTAAATACCTTTCAAGTTCTAATACGCTATTTTTCTCCACAATCTCATTACGTAAAATCGCAGCCGGCACATCTGCTGCTGATAATTTAACTTTTTTAAAAGGAATTTGGGCCATTTTAAATTGAAAAAGGTATCAGTTACAACTTTTTTATAATACTTGCTATACTTTTTGGACTGCAAAACAAAGAGCTAACATAACCCCACTTATTTGACGCAAGCGCGTTGTGGACCTTGAAAAGGTCTATAGGGCATGTCCATGTGACGTCACAAATGAGTTTGACAGTCGCCTTGAGGTAAAACAAATCATTTATTTACATGCGTTTAGATTAGGCCGGTTATGTTTTATGCGGTTTTCACAGCTTTTTCCCAAGTTTTGGTGTTATTTTGTTTTAAAAAAGTTAGAGCGGAGTGTTTGTGTTCTAGTCTATGTGGTCTTTCATCTAAAAGTTTGCTAGGTTTTTCTATAATGGATTAAATTCAGGTTTTTTCCAACAAATATCAAAACTAAGTGTTACAAGAACAAATATATAAGTATGGTTACTCTATATTGAATCTATTTTTCTGTCAGATCTCTTTTGAGAACATTAATCAATTTTTCTCTTCTCTCTTGAGCTAACAAATCAAACCTCCCATTGTTATTTAAAATTGATTGAAACCTATGGAAGGATATTGTATCCCTTGCGCTATACTGCCACAATTAACAACTAAACAAACTCTAGGCATGTCCAAGAAACTTCTAGAGCACACAAAAGGTATTTATTTAAAAAAATCGAACCAAAAACTTAAAAAACACTGTGAATTATATCTTTGTTTTACCTCAAGGCGACTGTCAATAGTGTAAAACTGTCAGATCGTGTACTTGCCCTATTGAAACATTTTTAGTAGTGATGTGCAACTTGAATACTTAGAAGTATCGGTATCGAATGGATACTTGAACTAAATGTATCGGATACTTTGGAACCTATGTGTTGGGATTGTTGTGAATTGGGATTGAGAATGACACAGACAACAGTCGCAAAGTCTATGTAAATGTAGCATAGCGCACGGATTTCGTACGAACTACAAATCTGCACATTGCATGATTCATATTTCTGTTAATTTTGAAGGATTTTATAATTTTACCGCTACTCGCTAGACCTAGTCTTGTGGATTCACTTTGGGGATAGTGGAACGTGAGAAAAAAAAGTATCCCGAGTATCCAGTATTAAAAATAAAGTATCTGATACTTCAAATTTAGCAAAGATCCCTGAGTTACGCGTGGCCGGGTCAGCTAGTACGTATACAGGGTGTCTCCGTTAATTTGCTCAAAAATGCTAGACTATATAGAGGAATCATAGAGAAGTAGTTTGAGATAGAACACCGTTGGTCGGAAGTGCGTTGTTTCCAAAATACAAGGCGTTGAAATTTAAACAACCCCTTTTCATATCATCTGAAGGGCTATTGCTAGGCTGTTCAAATTTTCAGGGAGTATTGATGTAGGAATGATATTTAAAAATTCGTATAATACACCCCCATTTTCTACCTGGAACTACCCCATAAATATCATTCCTAAATCAATATTACCTGAAAATTTGAACAGCCTAGCATTAGCTCTTCAGATTATAGCGTACTTATTTGGCAATTGCCTAATTATATTGCGTACGGCTAGTCAGCATCAATTCGGAGGCCATGGGTTTATGGGTTCCTTGTATACATCTTACCTTTGGGTACCACCAAGTAGGTACAATAATGTATCTGGCTTTCTTTATTAAAAATAATAACAATATTAAATAGGTACAGCCAAAAAAGTATATAGATAAATATTTGTATAAAAAAATGAATGTAAATAATACATATAAAAATGTGGATTTCAAATAAACAGTTTTAACTGTTTATTTACACTTGTGAAAGATTAAAGACTACAGTTTGAACTACACTGTACCAACAGGCAAATTTAACACCGCAGAAAGGTGAAAATTATTGTTAGGGCAACCTCAGGGTAAAATTCTAGAATTTTATTTAAGGGGCACATACTGAACGTAATCCAGTGTCAGGTGATTTATATAAGATTTGCCTGAATAGTAAAAAGTGCAACTTACATGTATACAAGTGTTAGTTATCTTCAAATGTATGTGTAAACTCAGAAGTTCCTAAAGTGAGGTTATCTACATGTTTGGTCTCATTGTAGATAGACTATAGAATGATCGTTTTATCTGTTTAACGTAGAACTCAACATGGTTCTATCAGAGTGGTACCAAAAGGGTTGCTGAAGAGAAGCTACCAAAGTCTCAACTAAGAGCAACCTAGTTTCAGCCTAGAATCTCTCTAGATACAGCCTAGGATCCTCTAACTACAGCCTAGGATCTTCTAAATACAGCCCAAGAGCTGTCTAGATATAGCCTAGAACCCTATAACGATGTTCGTATAAAAAACAAATCGAGACCCAAACATTAGAAATAATCTTACTTGTAACTGAGGGATGCTCTAGGCCAAAAGTGAAGTCTTAAACTTCCAAAAGCTGCACGGAACGATCCTATTGAAGAAATGAAACACGTGTTGTAGGTTAATTATTCCTGAAGAAGATCTCAAAACTTACCGAAACAAAATCCAAAATGACCAAGGGACAACTCTAGATAATGATCAACAAGAAATTAGTCTAATTTGAGTTTCCCTGGCACAAAATTCCAAAAATAATTAGGGCCAAGACCGACCTCACAGTATCAGGTCTAAAGATCAAAAGGGAAGATTCTTCCTTTTACATTTGGAAAGAGGGCTTCCATTTGTCAAACTTCTAATTTTGACATTGATGAAAATTATAGAAAAGGGCGTGTTAAGTTTCACCCCAAAAATACGAACTAAAAAGTGGGTTATGTATAAATGACTCCAGACAACCGGTGAATGTTGAAAATTGCCTATAGAATCTATATCAAAAAGTAGAACAGGTCTAAAGAAAACGCCTAGACAAGACAGCTGTTCAATGACAGATGTATCATGAAACTGAAAAATCGAAAAAAGTAAAGTTCGTTTTTTTTTAAAAGATAATTCCCCAAGTCAAAAATTTAGTAACTATGTTGGCAACACAAGCCTTTTCTACATAAAAAATTTGAAGCATTGACAATTTTACATTGCATTGCCAACATAATGTCATTTTGACTTTTATCTTTAAAAAAAAAACAGATTTTAAACAACAACAACTATCATAATCTCAGATTATTTATTGATTTGATTTGCCAACAGAGTCGATGGTACTCTCACCTTTTTCTAAGATTCTGATCAATAACAGCGGGCCCTGCCGTACTGAATCAAACCTTCCTAGATCAATTAACTACAATTGCAAACCTGAACCAAAAAACTTTAGTAGAAGGCAGTACTCAAGGTAATAAAATCTGGGCCCAGAAAATATAGAGGTTTATTCATTTATTTCTTTATAGTTCTATATGAAATCATATCCACTAGAGCAAAACAAAGTAGCATATTAGCCAAGAAATTGAAAATGCTACAAGATGATATGAAAGGGGGTTATTTAAATTTCAACACCCTGTATTTTCGAAATGACGCACTTCCGACCATCGGTGTCCTATCTCAAACTACTTCTAAATGGTTCCTCTATATAGGTACCCTAGCATTTTTGACCAGTTGAACGGGGACACCCTGTATAACATAATAGAATATAATTATATGAATAAAGGCTAATTAAATAGAATTCAGAAATATGTAAAACAGTAATAAAAAACAACAATAAAAAAAGCGAAAAACAAAAACTTTTTTTCCCGCAAACGTCAAAAAATGACGACTTTTTTAACCTCAATTCTTAATGTTGAAGTTTGACTTCACAGACATCATTTTTTTGTTACTTTTTTGTCCGCCCATTCCGTGAGCGTACAAAAAAGTACTTTTTTGTACGCTCACGGCCGGACAAAAAAGTGACGTCACAGAAATTTCCTAGATTCCATCGCTTGAACACCGTTTGCGGAAAAAATCGCATGTTTTATTCGGAGAAAAGCACTTTTTGTGGCTCGTCTAAAATTGTTAAAAATTGTCAAACATTATTAATCTCGCCACAAAAAGTATCACTTTCACTCCTAATAAAACAATATACTATTTTTAACTTTTTCATTCAAGAATTTTATATATTTCGTTGCTATTTGCAATTTGCATTCAATGTGCGACTTCGAGAAAATCTGAAATTTTCTGAAAAATGATGGTTCTTATATGTGAAGTAACGTTGTCCGATGGTTTTTCTCATAAGAGGGTTTGCTACAGAGTTATATTATGTGCCTTGTGCTGATCAACATTTTCAATCGTTGTTTTATTCGTGAATAATCTTGTTAGGAATGAAAATTTTTTGTATTTCGCGCAAAATTCTTTAATAATAATCAGTGCAAAGCGCTTTCGGCCGTGGCCATCATCAATGCAACCTGAAAGTAAGCAAAAACACTCTCTGAAGAGTCTGGAAAATTTGGAAAATCTTGTTGTCATAGTTTTAAAGAACAGCAGTATTGTCTTACATCACAAATGCTGGTTTAAGGTGCGTTTTGGCAACCTTTTTTGTGACGTATTTAATGTGGTATTATTAGTGATTTTTCAGAGAATTTTACCGCTGCTCCTAAAAATGTGCAATTTTACATTGTCAACATGCATTCAAAAATTAACTTTTAGAGCAATTTTTACAAACACTTCAAATATGCAAATTATCAAAAATCTACGTGTAAATTCAATAGGTGAGTAGGTACTTTTCAATCAGTGCGTGACTCTTGAAGTGGATTTTAATTGATGCATTACTAAAATTAGATTATCTTTTCAAAAATTTTAATGGGTTCATTCATTCATGCAGCCAGCAGCTGGTAGATAATGTGTAGAACGTAAAATTACACTGGTCTTGATAATATTGACTCGACTCGTCTATGCAATTTGCTATTCAGAACACTTATCAGATAACATGATATTTAATCAAAAACAACTCACCATTCGCCCAGCGCCAAACTCCCAAAACTTCGCCAGCCGATTCGACAACTTTCCCATAACGTCTCTGAAATAAACAATTAACATAACGGTTAATGTTGAAAATCTAACTATAAAAAATAAAGTAAATTGATTTTCAAAAATTTATCTGCTCCTTTTGAAATCCTAAATAAATGTTCACGTCCAATAAACAAATTCGTTTTAAAACAAACAAATTTATTAAAAATAAGATAAATTTGCCTAATGCAAATCAAGAAGTAGCGCGGTTTTAGAACCGATAGCGATAATAAATATTTTTTTTTTGTCCTGCTGGATGTGAGATGAATTTAATAATAAGAATTGTTTATGATTTTTGACAGCTAAAAAAGTTTATATAATAAAACATACTGTGTGACATAGAATTTGAAACACCCAGTAAATCTAAATATATTTTTTTTATTATTTTGGGAACTAATTCGGATAAATATGAGTATTGATGACATTTTCAAACAAATTTATTGAAAGGAATTCTTAACAATTCAATAGTGTAGTTTTGAAATTCTGTCACGCTTCGTGGCATGCCTGTGGTAGGGTCTCTCAGACTAATCTTACCTCATGACGTAGACGTTGTACATCCAGTAGAAGATGTGGCAACTGCCTCAGCTTTCTACCTATATCACATCCCAGAAATCTTCAATAGGCGATAGGTCTGGTGACCTTGCGGGCCATGGAAGAAGGTTTACATTAGCTTGTTGGGGGAAGTTTCTATTAACTGTAGCAGTATGTGATCTAGCATCATCTTGTTGAAAAATTGGATCTTGCAGTTGCTGAAGGTAGGGCAATGCGACAGGTTGTAATAGGTTATTGATGTAGGATTGATTGAGCGTTCATGTTTCTATCGAAAAAAACTAGAGGTGACCTGCTTTCAACTGCTATGGCACTCCAAGCCATAATGCCCCTAGTGAGCGCAGTCTTACGCTCCATGCAAAATTGAAGTTGGTGCCTTTTCCATGTCTGCGACGGACTCTTCTACGTTGCCCTACCTTCAGCAACTGTAAGATCGAATTTTTCAACAACCACATAGTGCTGCAGTTACCAGAAACTCCCTCCAACAAGCTAATGTGAACCTTTTTCCATGGCCCTCAAGGTCATCAGAGTTAGGTATCGCCTATTGAACATGTCTGGGATATGATAGATAGAAGGCTGAGGCAGTTGCCACATTTTCTACTGGAAACACAACGTCTACGTCATGAGGTAAGATTAGTCTGGGAGAAGTTACCACAGGCAGATATCGATCATCTGAGGCGCAACTGACTATTGAATTGTTAAGAATTCCTTTCAATAAATTTGTTTGAAAATGTCATCGATTGTTATTCATATTTATTCTTTAATCTAACTACTTCCCAAAATATTAATTAAATTACATTTACTGGGTGTTGCAATTTCTATGTCACACCGTACTTATATATTTTATTTAGGACCAAATAATTTGTTTATATGTACAAGGTACAAGGTATTCAAACTGAATAGATCCACTCTCCACTTTGATGATATAGATAAACTAAATTCAACTTTTCAAACATTTAAATAGGGTTGAGTGAGCTTATTTTGAAGACCTTGTAATACATAATTTAAATTGAAAATTGATAAAACAATTATCATTTTTTCCAAAATTTTATTTAAAAAAATGTCTGAGAAGCGTCTATTTGAAAACTAGATGAGCTCTCCTAGAAATGACACATATAAACTTATTCGATTTTTTAAAGAACCCATAAAAAGGAGAAGGTTCTACATGTCTTCCTTATTTTGGTATTTTTACTTTCTTCAACATTATTCGACTATTGACCTAAGAACATTTTATAGCTTGAAGTAAATATTTACTCAATTCTGTATTATCTTTTGTAATACATATTTCATTTTAGTTAAAAATTTAAGTTGCTGCAAAATACGTGGCGTGCGTATAAACTATGCTTCTTTGTATTATATAAGAGATAATATGCGATAATATGGATACTATCAGGAAATTTGCAACAAATAATAACGCTCGATAAATGTTTATTTTTGAATTGAGGAACTACGTTTAAATTTGCATCTAGATAAATCTTTATCCTTGTTTTTTTTTTTTTGAGAAATATTTAAAAAAATCTAAATTCTAAACTTTTAATTGGTCGAAGTTTAGAAATCAAAAACTATCAATTTTTTTTATCATTCCAAAATTGGAAGACATTCTTCAGGTTTGTAGTGTGGTCAGATTTTGTTCTCTTGTCTAACTTTTCTTTGAACTGCGATCTCTTCAGTTTTTAGATCTTCATCTATTTCCCCTTAGATCGAACTACCTACTATCATAAATTTGTTTAATACATTGAGTTAGGATGGTAGGGAGATGCGATCACGTGGTCGAAAGCGGATCCAGGTCCGCCATATTCATACGAACCTTACGTCAACGAACTGTCACTTGGTTGTCTGATCTGATCTGAAGTTTTTGGGTTTTTACTTGCCTTTTGTACTTTCGTGTGATATTTTCAACAATATAGTGAAAGACAATAATGGTTTCATATGCCCTTCGTAGCTGCAATAGTAGGCATGCAGTTGATAAAAAGAAATCGACCGGAATAACATACCACAGGTTAGTAGACAAAATAATAACAATAAACAGGGAAGTATTTCAAAAATGTATTTCTCTATTTCTTTATTTGAATAGTTTCTGGCTTTTATCCCGTCAATTCCTATTATTATGTTCCAAACTTAAAAAAATGCATTCCCAATATATGCGTCCTCAATTAAAACAAAAAAATCTTTTACTCACAATTTAGTATAATCAATTCTTATAAATTTAGACAGTCCGGACCTGGCCTGGCATCCATATAGTTATGACTATTAGCCACGCCCAGTGCGCCGTTTATCTCCCTACGAAATAATACTTATAGCGTCTCCCTACCATCCTAACTCAATGGTTTAATAATAAGGCTAAGGCTGATTTCAGAATAGGAATGTTGACAAAATAAAAAAATTCAGTTTAACCATCATCAAATTATTAAGCATCGTTTCGTAAGTAAATCTACAAAATTTTACGAAAATCAGAAAATTATTTCTATGAGAAAAACGGAGACGAAATATTGATATTCGTTTAAACGCACGAAACGCTGTCTGACGTCACAATGCGTAATGAGCTAGCACGTGCAAGTACAGTGGCGTTACTAGCTACTTGGATCAGCCTCTTGTGACGTTGCTTTTGCGATTTTTGTTGGCAATAAAGAATATTGATATTAATATTATTGTTATTATTATTATGGTTCGGTTTTAATTTAACGAGAGAGTCTGTTTAACGTTTAACAAGTATTTTGATATTGCTGCTATCTCCTTCATGTCGATCTCTGTGTTATAGGGTTTATAGAAATTAGGGTAGAAAAGGTACTATAGCTGAAATGAAGGAAGGTTTTCAAAAGGCCGATTCACATAATCTGCCAACTGTGGACGTTATCTACTATTTTTTTGTTTATTTCGTTATCTACTATGGTATCAAAATGTTTGGTCAAGTGTCGACTTGAATCAGCTCCAGTCCATTGGTGTAGAAGTAAAAAAGACGTTATTATATGTAGGTATAGTTGCATTTGAACAATGATAGATAATTATTTACCTGCAACAAGGGCCAAAAGTTATACTTTCCCGCACGCAACGGTATTTGCACAAACGACGAGCCAGCGGAATTCGTGCAAGCCGCAAGTGCGGAAAAGATACTTTATGCTCGTGTCAGGCCCATTTTTTCTATGAGCGTGTGAAAAACGCGTCTTCACGCAACGATTTGCGTGCGGAAAGTAGCACATTTTCGCACCTCGTAGAAAAACACGCATGTAGATACCACTCTTTTCGACTCGGTTCAACTTTGTTTGAGTCTCCCATCATTACACAAACACAGATAATTGGAGTAAATGAAGCTTTTTGGGATAAAGCAACAGTCAGCAAGACAATAAATCCAATGTAAACTTGTAAACAAATTTGCAGACCCAAGCAGCTCAGCGGTTGTGTCTTTGCTTTGCATGCAGTGGGTCTCGGGTTCGAATCCCGGCTAGGTGCATGGTGTATAATATGGTATTATTATAATATTGTTAATTGTATTTCATCTACCTATTTGTATGAACATTTGTAGTTACTAACTATTATTATTATCAATGTGCTTGTGATTAGACATCCTTGGTGACATGAACAAGTAGTTGTCAATTGTTATAATAGATACAATTATTATGTAAAGAATTTTGTAATAGATCTACTTAATAGAGGATCATATTAGAACGTGGTGAAGCTGCTTTATTTTATAACTAAGTGCTTGACGAAGTTATACATGGTGTCAGGTCGCTAGTGAACCTACAACGTGTCGGAAGTGTAAAAAATATAGTCTAATTCGTCTTGTTTTAGGCTTGTTTAAGTTGTTTTTGTCCAGCACACAGCTTGTTGTTTTTGCTGCACAAAAAAGAAAACGGAAAATTATTTTAGGCCTCCCGAACCGCTCGTACTTGATGGAAATATCTCTGAAAACTGGAAGAAATTTTCTCAAAAATTTGTCTTATTCTTAAAGGCCACAGGATTAGACGCCAAAGCTGAGGATAAAAAAATTGCAAGTTTTTTATCCATAATTGGTGATGATGGCCTTGACTTGTTTAACAGTTTTTCATTTGAGGCAGGTAAAGACAAGATTTTGACAGATATAATTAAGAAATTTGAAGATCATTGTGCTCTCCAAAAAAATGTTATTTTTGAAAGGGCAAAATTTAATACTATAGTGCAAAAAGAAGGGCAATCTTTTGATAGCTTCGTGACTGAGCTGAGAAAGGCAGTCAAAACAACTGAATATTCCAATCAAGATGAGATGATAAGAGATAGAATTGTCATAGGTTTGAGGGACACTTCTAGTAAAGAAAAACTAATGAGAGAGGCTTCTTTAACTTTGGATAAAGCAATAAATTTCTGCAGAGCCACAGAAATTAGTAAATACCAAGTAAGAAACTTGGACAATGAATCTCGAGTAGATGCCATTAGAGCTAGTACAACCAGAAACTTCAGTAAAACAGAAAACCCTAATAAGCTGTGTAA